ACGTCGTTCCTCGAACATTCTGCCTATTTCTCGTTGTTCGCTTTGTGTTACCTCAGTATTCGCCACAATACATTTATTTTAGAAATGTTTATATTACAAGTAAAAGGAGAAAAACTATGATCTAGTTTCATTATATGAAAAATTTGTACTTAGAATCTTTGACTATTTTATCCTTTCTAACTCATAAAACTTTAATCTGTATAGTTGTAGTGACATTGAACCACAACATGCATTTTGAAGTTTTCTGGCAGCATTTTCATTCGATTTTCGCGAAGAAGAGCCCTGAATGTACTAAATGTGTGCTCGACGTAAGTTGATACAAGCGGCGCCCAATTTAAATATGGAACGTTTGAAACGTTCATATTATCAGGAATAAGGGCGTTTTCCTCGCCCTTTACAATTTTATCCACACCCCTTATTGTCTCCAAGCCTTCGTTAGCTGAGAAAACGGCTTTGAATTTTTCCAACACCAATTTGGCAAAAGGTCTCTGCGCTTCTACAAGCCGCATGGGCAAAGTGTATATTTTTTAATCTTAAAAAAAAAATTGTAAATGCTATAATCACTTTTTGAAAGGTAGAAAAGTAAAAAAAAGGCAAATATCTTAAAAAAGGCAAAAAAAGGCAAATATCTTAAAAAAGGTAAAAAAAGCAACATCAAATGTGTATATATGGAATCAGGGAAAGCTAAATCGTGGACATTCTTAATCGAATATAGTCTATATCTTTAGCAGAAAAAAAGCAATTTCCATAAAATCCGTTCCCTGTTGATAGCACATTTGGAAAATACGTCGAAACGATCTAAATATTTTTATAACTACTGCCGAGGGACGACCGCTGTTAAGAAAAAACCTTTTTCTAAATTTTTTGCGATGTTGCTTTGACCAGGGCTTGAACCCAGGTGCTGGTGAGTGAAAGCGCGCACTGCTTACCACCACAGCGGCCGACGGTTCTGATAGCTGCTCTTAGTTAATTGGGGCCTTTTGAATTCCATGGCTTCCCCAGTTTTGCCCGATTGTCTCCACGTTTGGAGATAGCGGTACTTGAACCTTTGCTTAAATTTGAACTATTATCTAAAAAAAAACTCCCTTAGTTTAGAAGATATTTTACTAAAATTTTGCACACGCTTGTATTTTAATATTTCCTTCACTATCTCATAAAATCATCGAAATCGGTTCATTCTAAAAGCTAGCTCCCATACAACTGATTGTCCAGAGACGTTGTTTTGCATTATAACTCCTCCAACTAAGCATGTAAAAATTTAGTATAGGTTCACTTTAACATATAGCACAAATTATTATTCAGATATAAAGTTAGAGTAATAGCGCAAAACCACATATCTGAGTAATCAGTAGTATTGGAGCTATACGTTAAAGTGCACCCATTTCGATACTTCTAAGGAATAATTAAGGTGATATTAAAAAACCGTTATCTGAAAAATTTTAGCAAAATAACTTCAAAACTGAGGAAGTTATTTATAAAATAGTTAAAATTCAATGAAATTTTCAAATACCGTTATCACGAAAACCGGAGCCAATCTGGTAAAATGGGGGATGCCATTGAATTTAGAACGTCCCAATTAAGTGAGTTCAACTTTCAAAATCTTTGCTCAAAATTTACAACTTGAACAATGTAATTTGAACCCAGCTTATTCTTTTATTTTCTATTTCATGTTTATTCCTCGTCTAACTTTGGAAGCACTTAATAAAAATGAATTACACTTGTATTAATCGATTTATTAAGAGAATACGAATAAAATGATATGTAAAACATAGGTGTGCTCACAAATTTAAAAATTAAAACTTTTTTTTTGAGAGTGTACCTATTTTTTAGATTTGCCCATATAAATAGATAAATAATTGAGGATAAATTTACAATATCCAAAATACTTCTTTTTAAGAGAAGCGAGGAAGAGTTGGACTTTTTGGAATAAAAGAAGCTAAGGCAATGGAAATGCAACATAAAGCTTTGCCATTGCTTTCATTCCAGCAACAGGTACCAGATTTAAAATATCCGCTGTTGAAAACAGCTGCGTGCCGCATATTTTAAATTTTTGGTACAACGTGTAACTGTGAGTCTTTGTACTCTACAAGTTTCTGCAAATTTTCTATTCGCGTACTATTTTGGATATTTTTCTCTTGGGAGATGACATTTCGCCGGAATTTTGGTGTTGGACATTTTTTACTGGAGATTTTAATCGAACGTACCTATTGACTTACCAACATTTACAGAACTGTTACGAACGGCTTTAACTGACGTAAAACCAGATTTTGAAAATTCGGCCAAAGGGATCTTTTAAATTTTCTTTAAGTCGACTTAAGAAAGAATTGAGTTATATATGCTATCGTATTCTGCAAATACTATTCCACGTGTGTGTGAAATCCCCATCTCGCCAGCTAGGCTATTTAAAAAGTTATAGACGAACATATTTTGGTTTCCCCATAAGGTTAACATTACAATCCAAATGTTTAATACGTTTTTTCTCGAATTCAGGTTTTTCGACTTAGGCGGTTATTGCTTATGACCACAGTTATTTATCTTAGAATAATAATAAAATAACTATTTTTCATTTCTAATAATAATATTATTTAAAACTAAAATTATTTTTTTTTTTTTTTTTTTTGTGGCTCCTAGTAGCATTTAGAATTTACATATGACACTTTTCGGCCTTGGCCTTGCCCACCCCTGGTATCAGTGTCGGATCCAGCGGGAGGCGGGTTTTGGGGGTTAAACTACGTGTCAGTCAGTGGTGGACCCACGGTGTGTGTTTTAATACATAGACGCCATATTATACATACATATGCGCCATATTAAAACACCCCCCGTGGGTCCGCCACTGACTGACACGAATACTCAGCGTCTCACCTATTATCTTTTCTCCTAATTTTGATTCTCAGTCCTTGTATTTGCACACGTCAAATTTAAAACTTTTAATTTGGTTGGTTTGGAAAAGGATAAAGAATTACAATTAAAATATGTGTTTTCGCGATCAAATTGTGATATTTTTTAATTTTATTTTCTGTATTTATTTGAAAGTCTGTTTTTCGATTGCCATATGAATTACTTTTATATTCAAAAAACTATTCTGTGTGGCATATTTGTAGGGATTTTATTAAAAAAAATGAAATGGAATCATGAATCTCTCACGGCTCTCTTTACACTTAGAAATAAAAAAATCTATTACGGTAACGATATGTACATAAGTATGTACATACATATGTCTTTTTCTTTCTCCGAAAAGTAATTTTTAAGCAAAAAATATTACCGACTTCAATTCTCATATAAAAATTTAGAACTACCGTTAATTTCTTCATAATCCCATGATCAAATTTAATCAGTATGGGACCACCCTTGAGGTACCACCTTTCCGATAAAAAAAGAATTATCGAAATCGGTTGACGAGGTTCAAAGTTATGCTGTCACCGCACACACAAAAATAAAAATAAAATAAAATAAAATATTCCGACGAATTGATAACCTCCTTCTTTTTTGAAGTCGGTTAAAAATAAGTGTAAAGAAATCTTTAGTTTGAACATTTCGATTTTTTTGTATTTGAAGAGGGTTGCAACCCGTTGAACAAGTTAAAATCAAATTATTTAATAAGTTAGATGAATTTTTAAAAGATGGATATCAGTCAAAGTGGGTTTGGATGGGATTTATGTACTTCTGAACTGTATTTAAGAGAGTTGCCACGTGTTTAAAAATCAAATTCAATTAAATTTATCAGTTAATTGAAATCGGTAGCACAATGTCAGATGAAATAGATTTAAAATGATTTTAGTTTTAAAATACTTTTGAAGAGGTTTGCGACCAGTTTATTTATTTAATTTATACACAAGTTAAATGATATATTAACATAAGTGTGCAAGAGTTTTAAGAAAACTTTAGTTTGAAAATATTTTTCATTAGGGTTGCCATCTTTTCAAAAAATTATATCTATTTAACTCTCTACATATATGTGCATATGTACATACCTATATAATATGCCAAGGCATTTTTTGTGAAGGTCATCAGATCTGCATCGTTATTACGAATTTCAAAAATAAGATGTCAAATTAAAAAACTGGGCCTGTAAGGTTTTATTTTTAAAAGTTAGAAATGAAAAACGGACACCACGCGTGAACTCTCTTCACTCAGAAACGGCTGGACGGATTTAGGTGAAACATTTGAAATTTTTATTTAGGTCTCCCGTTTTTCGTTGACCCTTTCTCGGATTTGACCATGTGCAGTATATCTTTATCAATAGCTTTCCAAAATAACCGACAGAGAGGTGGTGGTCTTACGATATGTGCAAATTCGTTTGTAGAAAATGGTAGCATATTTAACTGAATTTAGTCCTAAGTCAACTTTTATTCGTTTTTTTTTAATACATACTTTAAATATCTCGTATTTTACACGCATGCCAGTTGCAAGGGAATTTTTCATATCCGCAACTTATACGGTTTACGTGCAATTAATTACATTTAATTCAATATTTCATATCATTTCACAGATCTACTCAAATTGCCTGACAATGATGAATTTCAATGGGGTCGTCACGATAATGAAAATGCTTACAGCGAACTGCATTCTAATTCTAACGAATATAACAGTACTAGCGGCGGAGGCGATTATTTGATGCGTCACATATTGAAGAAGCGTCAAGTGATTTTTCAAGTGAGTTCAATACGAGTTAGGGATGTTAATTTTTCAGCTTTTTCCGTTCCCGGGATCCCGGGATTAGTCCCGGGATTTAGATATTCATTACTTTTCAACAACTCAAATCGAAAAAAATTTACGTCGGAATTCATTTTAAAGGACTTTGTAATTTGAAAGATATGATTGATGCAAAAAAATATTTAAAAAATTCAATGCAATGCAGAATAAAAATATGGGTACTGAATGAAAGAGGAAATTCTTTTAGAATTTAAAAAAAAATAATATTTTTTGGATTTACAAGACGAATAGGTAATTTTTTAAGCTGATAAAGTTAGAAGGACGAAACTCGAGGATGCTATCGAGTTTATATAAGTCCTTAACATATTCAAATATGTTAACATATGCGAAATTTTAGGGATACAATTTAATTACTTTTCAACAACACTTACCTTCTGCACCAATAACTTGAATCTGCTTAAATTCTACGGGATTTCCTCTTTAATTTGATACCCATACTTCTTCTCTAAGCTTATTTCTCAAAATTTTTTAAATCATTTTTGTATTACTGACGTCAGAGTGAAAAACTAAAAGCGCAATTTTACTATATTTGGCCCATGGTTTCGCGATTATATTGATATTTCTGTTTAAAATTTACTATCGCGCGGAGTTATATGTATAATGAGCTAGACATTTACAAAAACTTAATTGTTAAAAAAAAAAATATATAGCCAATACTGGTCAAGAAAAGGAGTTTATATTATTGCCATCAGCGCAAATTTCCAATCCCGAAAATCCCGGGCATATTTGCCAAGAATCCCGGGTTCCGAGATTAACATTCCTAATACGAGTACTAAAAAATGTTACGCACATATGTATGTACAGTGGCGTTCAAAATAATAGCAGCAAAGTTCAAAATGATGCTGTTGGCAACTTATCTTTATTTCATTTTAAATATGGATCGATTTATATCAGATACCACCTTAGTAAAAGTTTCAAAGTTTGCCCAAAGTTCGCAAAATCTAGTTAAACTTAAAAAAATTTTTATAAAAATTTCGATCTTTATACCCGAGCGCACTTGTGCCCAAGGGTATTATAACTTTGTTCGCATATCGGTTGTTTGTAACAGCCAAAACGAATCGAGATAGATATAGACAAATGTATAAATAAATGATCGGAATGAAAAGAGAAATCGATTAAGCCATGTCTGTCCGTCTGTCCGTGTACACGATAACTCGAGAATTGAGATACAATGTTGGAAAAATAATAGAAACAACTTATTGAAAAATATTAAATCAATTATATCAACACCAGTTATATCTATTTTTTGGAATGGCGCACCCTGTACAAATATCAGTTAAAGGTTATTCTTTGTTTTGTTCCGCTAGTTTGTATCCTTTTCACTTTATATGCGAGAGAGTAAACAATTGAATTGTTGCGCTTGGAAAAAATAATAGAAACCAAACGTGTGTGTTAATATTGGTGCTTTACAAAAGGTAAATTAATTATTTGTGGCACTTCTAATTGCGTTTTTAAAGAATGTTAACTAAATTAGAGTTATACTATAGGTTATTGAAACATAAAAAATAATAAAATGGGCCGAGCTAAACACTGCACGGAAGAGTAGAAGAATTTAATAATAAGTTTAAGAAATTCGATGAGTAAGATAGTAGATATGGTGGGCTGTTCCAAAACGAAGGTGTTCCCTGCCCTTCATAGCGTAAAAAACCAGAAACACGACGCACAAGGCGAAAAATGACTGCTAGCGATCAAAGGCGTTTAATTCGGCATTACAAAGTAAACCGTTTTCTGTCTTCAAGAAAGCTGAAAACAGAATTTAATGTCGATGTAACAAGCCGAGCCATGACGTACAGATTGGCAGAAGCCAAACTTTCAGCCAGAATCTCTAGAAAGGTACCGTTGCTGAGCCTTAAAACCAAAAACAACAGACTTGGTTTTGCCAGAAAACATCTTTTTCGTCAAAATGGTGAAAAATGTGCTGCAGTCTGATGAGACAAAGAGTAATATGTTTGGATCAGATGGAAAATAGTACGTAAAATGTCCTACGAACACAGCCTTTGATCCACAACACACGAAAAAACGGTTAAGCACAGCGGGAGTTCCATTATGGTATAGGGCTGCTTCCCGAAGGAAAGAAGTTGGTCCAATACTTTGGATTAAGAACAAAATGTGCGCGCTTGACTATGTAAACATATTACAGATGATAAGGCTTTCCTATGCTAAAGAGGAAATGCCATTGCGGTGGGATTTACTGCAGGATGATGATCCTAAACATGCGTCAAAACTGGTAAAGTAGTGGTTAAAGAAGGAAACAGTGCAGGCTATGGAGTGGCCGCCACAATAGCCAGACCTCAACCCTATTGCGCACGTTTGGGCGGACTGAAAGAAGAGAATCGGGCCTTTTAAAGCCAGCAATAAAGACGAATTGTGGCGCCACATTCTAAAATCGAGGTATTCCATTCCGAAAAGTGTTTGTGCAAACATCGTCATCGTAATCAGGCAATTCAATAAGCGGCGATTCAATAAGCTATTAAAGCAATAATATTTTTGTAAGAATTTATTGTTCAAAGCTTAATTTATTTAGATAATACTTTGTTTCTCTTATATCTTCCAGGCCAAAATTAAAAAAGGGGCCACAATTTATTTATGGCTTATTGCCCTTGCAAAAGAAGTCTAGATTTTAATTAACGTAAACGAAATGTACGAAATCGGAATGTGTTTAAAATTAAAGAGTTCTTCAGACAATAAAAAATATATGAAAGCTGTATGTTTCTATAATTTTTTCCAACACTGCATATCAACAAAATTTGGTAAGTAGGTTTCCCTTTATCCAAGGTAGGTTGGGATTGAAAATTGGCAACATCGGACAACCACCTACCCTTTAACGTTATTTTCGAAATATGAAAAAACCACGGTATTTTCGCCAATACTGGATCCAAATTGTTGAAAGTTGGTATGCGAAGTAGAATTTCGGCATAAAGCAAGACAGTTATTAAATTTTTGGAAAATGGGCGTGGTTCCGCCCACTTATGATAAAATGGTGTATCTCTGTAGTCCATTTACCAATCCCCACCAAACTCGGTGCGAACATTGCTTAGGGCTTGACTAAGAAACCCTTGGAAAATTTTTGAAATCAGACAAGAACCACGCCCACCTCCCATATAACGGTAATTTAGAGAAATACGAAAACTGCGATAAATAAGTATTTAAGCTAATTTACTCAAAATCGACATATACAGCGAAAATGCTACTTAGGAAAATTTTTGGGAATTGGGCGTGGTACCGTCCACTTACGCCTACATATGTGTATCTCGGTAACTGGTTTATCAATTTCTACCAAACTTGGTATATTTATCAACCTTGGCTCAAAAAATCCATATGTTGAAAATTTCTGAAATCGGACTAAAATTACCCCCACCTCCTATACAACGGTAAATTTAAGAAATACGAAAATTCCGATGTTTGACGCAAACTTACACCAACCTCTTAACAAGACACAATGTTATTAATTTTTGTAAAATTGGTGTGGCACCACCCACTTATGACCGACTACATACATATAGTGTATATTGATAGCCCCATATCGATTTCCACCAAACTTGCTCCAATTATTTCAATATCTCATAGCATATTATCGAAACTGTTTGACATCGGGAAGAATACTCTTGCGCATAATGCAGTTTACTGAAAGGTGTAAAAACGATATTTAATACGTGCGCCGGATATATAAAGTTCGGTTTCCCCCGATCTTATACTTCTTCACTTGGTTTAATTAGACTTCCTAGAAAGATTTCGGAGCTTTATAGCCAATTTTATTTAAGTATAACAAAAGTGCAAGTTCAAGTCGCTAAAAATTACCGCTATATTTTTAGAATTCTTTTTGTGCATACAAGAAAAGCTAAGTAATGCATACATGCACAGATTCGGTTCAAATCCGAAATATTGCATACGACAAAAACCGAAGTAATGCATACATGCACAGTTCCGACTCAAAGTCGAAGTAATGCATATGAGAAAAACGAAGTAATGCATATATGCACAGTTTCGTCCTAAAATCGAAATAATGCATATGACAAAAAACGAAAAGTGCATACACGCACAGTTTAGGTTGCAACTCGAACTTACGCGTATTTATTAAAATAACCAAATTAATTTAATAATTATGTAGTACATACATAGATACATATATTTATGCCTAATGTGACCAACTATTTCATAGCTCAAAGAAGTACAGGTTAGGTTGGGTTAAGTTAACGCCGTGAGCCGATTACGAAATTTCAAATTCGGCTAATCTCGATCCCTAAGAGCTCAGTGTTTGTTCAGAAGTGCGAGCGAAAATGCTTCCATTTTAGCCTCGCGAAGGTTGGACAGTCTAAAAGAAAGTGACGAACGTATTATTTTGAGTTGTGACTCTTTTGAAGACGGTGTGCGATATGTATGTTAATCGCCAGTGCAGGTGTGGTTCCTATTGCTCCATTAATTCCTGTTTTACTGGCGTAGCATTCTCTAGTGAGTTCCAACAGACAACGGCTCCTTAAAACAATATAGGCTTAAATCTGGTTTCCTAGAACTAATGAATTAATTTGAGCGAGAGACCCCACCTTTTACCGATAGCTTCCCTACACTAGTACAAGGCAACCGATACCTTTCCTACCCTCTCCTAAATGTTTGGCTTCTAAGACAGCCGCCGTTGATAACCCACGTCCAAATTTCCCTGCTGAAGCGGATGTTCTAACCGATGAACGTGACAGCCTTCGTCAGGCCGATCCCGGAGATCCCTGTATCAGGGATCTCAACGCGGAGATTCGGCAACTAGTGAACGTACCAAAGCGGAAGAAGTGGGAAGAACATCTGAAAACCTGTAACTTCACCTCTGGTGTGATTAAGCTATGGTCAACTGTGAGGTCACTGTCCAATCCGACGAAGCACGACGACAGAGTCGAAATTTCTTTCGGCGACCATGCCTCGTCGGACCCGGAGCGATGCGCGAGCTACTTTAGCCGGCAGTTCATACTGCATCCTCCGGTGGACAAAACCAAGCGTCGAGGGACCAGAAGGCTGCTTAAACTGCCAACAAGTTGTGCCCCCCTTGCATTCACCAGCGGTGAAGTTCAGGTGGCCATCGGGAAGGCGAAAGCCTCCAAAGCCATGGGTCCCGACGGAATATGCACGCTGATGCTGAAAAATTTGGAACCTGTGGGAGTAGCGTACCTAACGGAGGTCCTCAATTTGTCTATGGCCACTCTCATCATCCCAGACATCTGGAAGGTGGGGAGAGTGGTCCCACTGCTCAAACCGGGGAAACCCGCCAACAAAGGAGATTCGTATCGACCGATAACACTCATTTTCCCGGTAGCGAAGACACTTGAGGACCTGATGCTCTCGTATTTCGCGAACCACCTGACCCCAGCGAAGCATCAGCATGGTTTCCG